TAGGAACGTAAGGATGTCCCATCGTTTGATGGAAATGAAAATGATCAACCTACAGAGGACTGCATTCAAAGACATCCTGAAAATCAAAGTGAAAAAATGATGCAGCAGGCCAGTCCTTTTGCTGAAATTTCATTGCAGCAATTCAAAATGGTACTTTGTATGGCCCCACATGCTTGTATGCATGCCTGAATGTCGGGGCATGCTACTAATGAGATGACGGATGGTGTCCTGAGGTGTTTCCTCCCAGATGTGGACCAGGGCATCACTGAGCTCCTGGACAGTCTGAGGTGCAACCTGGTGGTGTCGGATGGATCGAAACATGATATCCCAGAGGTGTTCTATTGTTCGTCAGGCGAGCATGGGGGTCATTCAATGGTATCAATTCCTTCATCCTCCAGGAACTGCCTGCATACTCTCACCACATGAGGTTGGGCATTGTCGTGCACCAGGAGGAACCCAGGACCCACTGCACCAGCGTAGGGACTGACAATGGGTCCAAGGATTTAATCCTGGTAACTAATGGCAGTCAGGGTGCCATTGCCTAGCCTGTAGAGGTCTGTGCGTCCCTCCATGGATATGCCTCCAGAGACCATCACTGATTCACCACCAAAATGGTCATGCTGAACGATGTTACAGGCTGCATAATGTTCTCCATGGCTTCTCCAGATCCTTTTACATCTGTCACACGTGCTCAGGGTGAACCTGCTCTCATCTGTGAAAAGCGCAGGGTGCCAGTGGTGGACCTGCCAATTTTGGTGTTCAATGGCAAATGCCAATCAAGCTCTATGGTGCCTGGCAGTGAGCACAGGGCCCACTAGAGGACATTGGGCCCTCAGGCCACCCTCATGAATTCTGTTTCTGATTGTTTGGTCAGGGACACTCACACCAGTGGCCTGCTGGAGTTCCTTTTGTAGGGCTCTGGCAGTGGTCATCCTGTTCCTCCTTGCACAAAGGAGCAGATACCAGTCCTGATGATAGGTTAAGGGCCTTCTACAGCCCTGCCCAGCTCTCCTAGAGTAACTTCCTGTCTCCTGGAATCTCCTCCATGGAGTAGAGACTGTGCTGGGAGACACAGCAAACCTTCTGGCCATGGCACATATTAATGTGCCATCCTGGAGGAGTTGGACTGCCTGTGCAACCTCTGTAAGGTCCAGGTATCGCCTCATGCTACTAGTAGTAGTGAAACTGACCCTAGCTAAATGTAAAATTAGTGAAAAACAGTCAGAAAAGATGATCAGGGAAAAAAAAGTCAATGGCCTCCACCTGTAAAACCATTCCTGTTTTGGGGGTCATCTCATTGTTGCCCATCTAGTGCACCTGTTGTTAATTTCATTACCACCAAAGCAGCTGAAATTAATAAACAACCCCCTCTACTACTTAACTGACCAGATCAATATCTCAGGAGTTTAATTGACTTAATGCTATACTCTGATTAAAAAGTGTTCCTTTAATTTTTTTGAGCAGTGTATATACTATATTGCCAAAAGTATTGGGATGCCTGCCTTTAAACGCACATGAACTTTAATGGCATCCCAGTCTTAGTCCGCAGGGTTCAATATTGAGTTGGCTCACCCTTTGCAACTATAAAAACTTCAACTATTCTGGGAAGGGCATCCACAAGGTTTAGAAGTGCGTCTTTAGGAATGTCTGGCCATTCTTCCAGAAGCACATTTGTGAGGTCAGGTACTGATGTCAGATGAGAAGGCCTGGCACACAGTCTCTGCACTAATTTATCCCAAAGGTGTTCTGTTGAGTTGAGGTCAGGACTCTGTCCAGGCCAGTAAATTCCTCAACCCCAAACTCGCTCATCCATGTCTTTATGGACCTTGCTTTGTGCACTGGTGGGCAGTCATGTTGGAGTAGAAAGGGACCATGCTCTCTACACACTATTATTGTGCTAATCTGAAGGCCACCCAAAGTTTGGAGGTCTTTAGCTATTGCCTCTGCAGACAGTTGGTGACTTCTGTGCACTGTGCACTTCAGCATGCGATGACCACAGTCTGTCATTTTACGTGGCCCAACACTTCATGGCTGAGTTTCTGTTGTTCCCAGTTGCTTCCACTCTGTTATATTACCACTAACAGTTGACTGTGGAATATTTACTAGCACGGATGGACTTATTGCACAGGTGGCAACCTATCATGGTTCCACGCTTTAATTCACTAAGCTTCTGAAAGCAACCCATCCTTTCACAAATGTTTGTAGAAGCAGTCTGCATAGAGTATATTGAATACTGTTGATACACTGATCCAGACTGTCACATCAGGGATTCCCTCCTTGTCTATCCAAGGACTAAATAAACGGATTGATTTACTAAAAGGAGTTAAGAATATTCGCTCAATAGAATTAAAGATGAATTCCAGGTATGGTATATTTTACATAGTTACAAAGGTCCAGTTTGGACCAACAAAACTATGTACAGTATATATCATACCTGGCTGATGCCCCTGGAAGTTGGAAATTACTGAAATAGATATCGCTACTCCAGTGATCTCCATTCAATTCCAGGTCCTGTGCTGAGCAGCCAGCCTGATGCACTGTAAACACAGGAGTTTGACCATTCAGAAAAGGCACCATTCAGAGAATGCATTGCATTGTCTGGATGAAGGCAAAGTGTTCTCCATTTGGATGAGGTGGAGAATGTGACATGGCTGCTCACCACTCTGAGAAGACTGACCAGCTGTCATGTGAATGCTCAGTTTTCAGTCTTAGAGCCAATGTGGAACAGCTGTATCATCACAACCAATGCTGCAGCATAAAGGTGAGTATGTGTGTTTATTGTATTCTATACCCTAAATTTCTGCTTTACCCACTACTCGCAAAACAAAAGTGTAGCACTACCCTCTTGAGAGCTGCTGGTTTTTGTTCCCCCTATTTTCCCACACAGCCTGGCAACACCCATTTCCTACTCTTGCATCCAAAGTCAGTAAACAGTCCATGAGCTTGGTTTTGTTGTTTTATTGGGGGTTAAACAACTTGGATGGGGTCTAGGGGTATATGGGATGCTCAGTGGAACCGAAACAACTTGGAGGACAAACTTTCTATGTACAAAAAGCAGAACAATTAGATCCTGGACTTTCTACTCCCTCTGGAGTGTCTCTTAACGGAGCAGCACACAGTTCTTTTTAGGAGTACTCAGTCTACTTAAATGAACCTTCTTCAGACACCAGATGAAAATATTCTCATCTACCTGGCTGTCATGAAGAGTATATCAGGGCAAGATATTCTGAGACACATACTGTAAGTATAATGTCCCAGGGAGAACTAGTTCGGTATGGCACCTGACTGCTCTCTTCCTCATAGGCCCAGGGTGTGTACAGGTACTCACACTATCCTGTTTTTGTAGCTTTAAATGGTGAAGTCACTTTCAGGCCTTACCCTGGGCTAGATTCTTCACTTGCTAGCTGGTTGTCCTTCCCTGGCAGACTGTGAAATGGTGGAGGTCCCTCTTTCCATCTCTCAACCTTAATTTCCTGGGGGCCTCCTCCCTGGCTCCACACCAGCAGCACTTCCCCGCCCCATCTTCCACCCAACTCCCCATTACTGGCCAGGCTCTGTCATATATATGGGCTGATTTCCAACACTACCAGGCCTGCTTCCTGGGATTGGTCAGACTTACATAAATATGCAGATCAGCCCCTTCTCACCTCAGCCCACTAGCTTCCAGAAACCTCTCCATGTTTCTAGAGCAGGGGAAGTACCAGAGGATTGACCTGTAGACTTCTCCAGCCCTAACTTAAAGTAACCTTGCTGACCCACACCCAGGTTTCTAGCAAGCCTCTAACTCTACAAAAAACTAACTGCAATAGAGGGCATTACAAAAGTATTGGCTCTCCCTGAAAAAAAATGTTTAAAAAATCAAAATTTTGAATACTGTACTGAAGTGGTTATAGAATTGTATTTACTTTCTTTTTGGCTTCACGAACCCTTCTAAAAGACAGTCTGAAAGAAACAAACAATCAAAATCACAATTTATTAATAACTAAATTAATTTAAAAACACATCCACATTCTGCCAGATCCTGATCAATATATTGGATGTTCTAAATAATGTTATTTTTTTGTGTTAGCACAGAGGGCAGACTTGGTATGTGTCAACAGGGGGCGAGCTGTCTGAACCACTAAGAAACTGAAGACTGAAGAAAGGATGATGGCAGCACGGTACCAGGCCTACAGAAGCCAAGTAGTGAATCACAGCAGATCAACGCTGGATTCACTGGGTATGTGAGTATGTGAATTTAGGACAACCTAGCAAACCAGGTAAAAGGGGATTTTAAAAAATCACATGGGGGTGAGGTTCCTCTATAACTGCCTGTCCTGTAGATACAACAGTAATAGGAAATCTCTCCAAAGTTAGAGAAATCCCCTGTTGGACATTTGTCACTGGAGCAGGTGTCCCCTTTGAAAAAGTTCTCCTCTATAACAGTTACTGAGCTTCAGTATTGTCTGTAAATCGCACTTCCAAGGCTTTCTGCCATTTGTATTTACAACCCCTGTAAATGTATATCCGTTATTTGTACTGAAACGCTGTATCAGGGATGGACTGACAACTCATGGGGCCCCCGGGCAATAGCGGATCATGGGGTCCCTGTGTCCTTGTCCAAACTCAAAAAAGCCCATGAAAAAGGTACCAGGGGCATCTCATGGGGCCACCTACTGACCCTGGGCCCTCAGGCAGTGCCCGAGTTTCCAAATGGTCAGTCCACCCCTGCGCTGTATTGATTTTGAGATTATCTCCAGCTTGAGATAAGGAGGTGGGAGGTCTGAAGCTGTTCATTTCTGCTTATTTGTCTACTTGAAAAATCTCTTTTTATGTCATGGGGTATTTCATTCTCCACAATCTTTGGTACATGTACTGTATGTGACAATACTCATTAAACAAATCAAGACTGTGACTGGAAAACATATTCTAGGACTAAAACATCAGTAAGAATCGTAGGGATGGATAACTGCACACCTTAGAAGAATAAAACTCCAACTTCTTTATTAAATCCATTAACATCCTTAGACATCAGTATAGCTACACAGAGAAACCAAGTTGACACATTTCACGGCCACAGATACATAATCTCATTAAGCTACTGTGGATGTGAAACGCGTCAACCTAATTTCTCTGTGTAGGTCTGCTGTTGTCTAAGGATTTTATTTTATTTAATTAAGAGGTTGGAATTGTATCTTTCTAGGGTGTACTGTTACCCATCCCTACTATTTTTACTAGTCATGGTTACAAGCTGATGCAGAGGCATGGACCAACCAGGAACAATGCCTGCTTTGTTGTGGATTATTGCTCAATCTTTTTCTGTCATCTGTATGCATATATGCGACCTCTTGGTGGGCTTTAATGCTGAGAGGCCGTATATGTGTGGGCCTATGTAAACATCTTTCTGTGCTGAGTGCATGCACCCTACATTCTCCCATACTTGCAAACAAGTGTTTTCCAAATCATGTCACCACTATGACTGCAAATCACAGTGGTCATGTGATTTGAATGCTGTCTCCACCTCTCAGCATTTAGAACCTTTTAAACGTCTGGGAGGCAGTGGTGGGAAAGGGTTAAAGATTACTCTGCCCGGGCAAGGCACATAGAAACAAAATTGACTCATTGGGTGTCATAGCAAAAAACAGTCATAGTTGAGCTTATGGAGAGATCTAAATATTCAATCTTTAAAGCTTATCTCCCTTGGTGTATGCACAGCTGGTTGCCACTCCACTGAAGATAAATCATTCCTTGAAGTCTCTTCAGAAACTGTAGTGGTGTGCGGATTCAGTTGTGGAAACCACTCAGTGCAATGGGGAATGTGAGATTAACACTCTTTTAAGTGTCAGTTTTTAATGGGACCTCAGCCCTTGGTGGCAGGGCAGTGGTAGGAAACAAAAAGGAAGTGATAAGAAATCCCTTCAAAGTGTTGGAATTTCTGGTTGTCACCAGGTTCACCCAAACTAGTGTTCCCATTGGAGGACTTTCCCTCTATTCCTGTTCAGATGACAAACCAAAGGTTGTGATTTACTTTCCCTTCCACTCTTGGTGATAATGATAAACAGGACAAATAGAGAGGTTGAATCTCCCTAAAGTAGGCACAGACCCTAATAAAACCCTGACAGGTGTTCCAATCCCTCTCCACTCCACACATAACCTCAGGCTGTCTGCTTGTCTTGGTCATTTCCATTAAGGGCTCATTTACACTTACTTTGATTTTGATTTTGATGCTTCTAAGATTCCTCATTCATGCTTTGGTGATGCTTTTTTTTGAAGCTTTAATTAAGCTTGGCAGATGCCCCGGGTATGTGTTGATTTTCTATTTGTTTTAAAGGGGCCCAGTAGAACCCCGGCTCAGTAGTACCCTCACTCAGCTGACCCCATTCTTCAGTACCTCTGTTCTGCATTAGTACCCTTGTTCAGCAGATCCCCAGCTTATTAGTAACCTTCTTCAGCAGATTTCCAGCTCAGTAGTATTCCCAGATCTGTTGATGCCGCACTCAGTAGTACCCCCAGCTCTGCTGGTCCCCCACTCAGTAGTAAACCCCAGCTCTGTTGATCCTCTGGTTCGTTGATCCCCCTCTCTATCTGGTCTCCATTCACCTCCCGCTATATTGCTCCCATGTTGCACACCACATGTGACATTGCTAGTTTCTCTTGCTCTGGTCTGCCAGCTCTATTGATCTTTCACCACTCAGTCCTCTCCCTCTGGTCCCCACTCACCTTTCGCTATAGTATTCCCATGTTGCACACCATGTGTGCCGTCTGCTAGTTGCTCCACTCCAGCCCTGTCCCCGCTCACCTTCCTGCTGCTCCATGCTGTACACTAGATGTGACATCTGCACCAGACACTTCCAGAATATATATACACATGAACTGGAAGTGACTGCTGATGATGTCTTTCCAGTGCATCCTGGGATACATCATACTTGCAATACCTCCAAAGCAAAGCTTTGTTGTAGACTTCTGTGGAAACTTTGAAGATGTTTTAAAGCATCATGAAAGTGACATGGAGTATAATTTTTGAAGCAAAAAGAAGCAAAGCAACACACTGTGTGAATAGGACTGTAAGCAGTGATTTTTCACAGAGCAGCCCGGATCCTTCTCTTCTTGGGTCCCCTGACAGCACTCCTGGTTCCTCCTTCCTGTCGGGTGCCCCCATAGCAAGAAGCTTGCTATGGGGGTATCCGAGCAGGCGTGCTCCCGAGCCACTGCTATGTGTGTCCATTTGCTCAGCCCTGCCCCCTCTGTCTCCTCATTGACTCACTGGCTGTGGTTAATAGGAGTGGGAGCCAAAGGCTCCAGCTGCTGTCTCAGCCAATGAGGAAGCAGAGACCCTGGACAGCCAAGGGTCTCATGGACATCGCTGAATTGTGATGGGGCTCAGATAAGCATTAGGGGAGCTGGGGGACAGAAGGTTTTTTACCTTCATGCATAGATTCCATAAAGGTAAAAAACCTTGAGCCTTTACAACCACTTTAAAGAGAGAAACGTTTGGTCCACTTCCACTGGCAAGTGAAAATGACTTTCAGAGCCCCTTGGCTTTCACGTGACATTGCAGCCAAAAGGGAGATTTTGTGATGTCTTCTTTATAAGACTTGTAACATGTGATTCTGCATTTGGATGTATTAGTTTTAAACCAGTACATTGTATTTCCAGAACTGTGTTTTAAAATAGTTACTTTGCAGCTGTTGCATCATTATGGCATTGCATATGGGTTTTTCATTTTTTATGTGTTCTTTGCTTTCTGTTTACGTGCTGCACTTCTTGATACCAGCCAAAATAGAATAATAACTACATCATATTCAGATAATTAAAGAGCAAAACTGCACCATCATGTCTGAGCTGTTTGGAAACTGTTAGGCCAACACGGCTGAGTTCTGTGATACTTTTAAATTTGCAATAACAGTTAAATTTTCAGGACAAGCTTTTGGGGTATACCTCCTTCTTCTAAGGTCCAAGCAATAGATCAGCATATAGAGTGTATACCCTGAAAACTTGTCTTTAATATTTACTTTGTAGTGCAAATATAGAAGAATCACAGACTGTAGTCAATTGGGTTGTTGCACATACTCTAATAGGACTACTATCACCCCTAGGATGCTGTTAGGCCACTAGATGGCATTGCATGGAGATGTTACATGTAGCTTGAGGTCAGCTAAAGAAGGATAAGTCCAAAGATAACTAAGCATAATTACACTTGAAATTAAATAATACCATCAAAATGTATTCTGTTCTACTAAAAAACACCCTTACACAAAAATGAGAGATATTTTAAATACGTTAATGATCATATTAACTATTCTTCAATACCGCATTAGAAACATTGCACGAATAAAAGCATTGGGCATCATAATCAATCTTTTTGTGAAGATAATAAAATTAATCCAACTATAATCATCCCATACGGTTATATTTTCTGTAGGCCTATCTGCACACAATTTTGGACAACTACAACTTTTATGATTATATATTGTTAGGGGGTGGGAGTGTGATACATCACAGTGTCAATGTGGTCCAACAGGGTATCATCTCCAGAGATATACAAACAACCAGGCCTTTTTTTCTCACAGAATACGTGTAGGAACTCCCCCCTTCCAAGTCACCCCTTGTCTCTGCCCCGTACCCACCTACAAGTGCCATCCTTTGGTTCCACGCCTACCCACCTACTAATACCACCCCTTTTAGTGAATACAGAATCAGGTATCATTTTGTGTTGTTAATTAATTTGTATGGAATTTGCTAATGATAACATAAAAAGCAGTAAAATAGACCCCTTGCTGCCAGCAACAAAAGCACCCCCCATACAACAATAGACCCTTTTCAACAACAATAGATCTCCCATCAGCCAGCAACAACAGACTCCTCAACAATGGATCCCTCCCAGCAACAACTGACTGTTCAGCAACAATAGACCCCTCCCTTATCAAGAGATTCCACCCCCACCAGCAACAATAGATCCCCCAGCAGCCAGCATCAATAAACCCTCCAGCAGACCCCAGTACCCTTTACATACATTCAGTGCTGGAGGTTCCCCCGCGTTCCCGCTGAAAAAAAGACCTACAAACAACCCAAATGAATGGGACTTTAAATATACTCCTGATGGCTACATTATAAAATGAAATTAAACATTTTATTCATAATGAATTAGAAACTATAGCATGGGAGCTGGTAATCTATATGAGGACGCTTGGTGAACATGTGGCTGGTCGGTGATTTACAAGGTTGGACCGGTTGTGTTTATATGTTTTAATTTTCTAATACTGCTAATTAGTCCATCCAACCACAGCAGCTTCCATTAGAGTTCCCTATAAGATATGCATCTAATCAAACCTTCCTTATATATGTGGTTCTGTACAAAAAATCCTTGTTGCTTCTGAGGAAGCTGTGAATCCATAAAACACGTGGACCTTTTTCCAAGGATATACAGTACATCAAGATTGTGATTAATCTCTATGTAATAGTATTTTTATTATTGTCCAATGTGTTACACTATAGGTTTTAATGCATTATTAATAAAATGTATACTTTTTTTTATATATGTTGAATTTCATTTTATATTGTGGTCACCAGGAGTACATTTAAAGCCCCACTAATTTGACTGGGTTGTTAGTGCAACTTTTATGAGCTAGAAATAATGTCATATAGTGTGCTTAGCGGGATTCAGAGATGCTTTAGAGCATAGGATGGATGGGGCAGCAACTGGGGACATGACTAATGTATGTCAGGGACTGGGGGTAGGTAGTAGACAATGTACATTATGTCCTTCAGTCCTAATAGCTATACAATTGCATTGTGTGTTAGACTCCAGCAGTATTGGACTTAGGTACCTCTGGCCAAGTAGAGGAAATTATGACAAGGGTCTACTCTCAAGTGGTTAACACTGAATACTATGGTGGGGAGTTGGTGGGGATTACTGTGAGTGAATGTGGTTAAATAGACATGTTTTAACAACAAAGACTTATTCTTAGTTATCAGCAGAAGGCAAAACTAGTTTGTTTTTTGATCACAATTTTTTCAGAGGCAGGATATCTAACCCTACCTGCAAACACAAATGCTCCTGTGCTTGGGGATGGATTCGATGCAGGCTACAACCACATTATGAATGTCCT